AAAGACCTAAGCTCGGGCCAAAGGCAAACATGTGTGTGTTTCTTGGCTTTGCTGAAGAAAGCGATGCTTACAGATTCCTAGACCTTGGAACCAACTCCGTCATAAAAGCTCAGGATGCAAAATTCTTTGAGGATAAGTTTATCAAGAATAAAGATTTATTGTTCAAAAATATACCAGAGAATGCTAGTACGTCAGATGCATCAGAGGTCATTAAAGCTCAGGATGCAGAATTCTCGCTTAAAGATATACCAGAGAATGCTGGTACATCAGATGCACCAGAGGAGCCAGTTTCGATGAAAGAGTTACCGAACCACTTTCCAAGCGTGTTAGAAGACAGAAAAATTTTAAAGATGACTTCACCACCTATAATGTGGAAGAAGATCCACAGATTTTCCAAGCAATGCAGTCAACAGACGCTTTTCTATAGAAAAAACTATAGATTATGAGATAGATTCATTGATCCAAAATCATACTTGGGAGCTGGTGAATGTACCTGAAGGTGCAAGGCTTATCAGTTACAAGTAAATTTTCAAGAAGAAGTTTCGTCTTGATGGTACTATTAAGAAGTACAAAACAAGACTGGTGACGAAAGGATTCTCAGAGAGAAGGAATAGATTTTTTTTGATATCTATGCATCAGTCTGCAAGATCACTATCATCAGAATATTTATCGCATAGGCAGCGATAAAAAAGTTTGTCATACATCAGATAGATGTGAAGACTGTATTTCTCAATGAAGATCTCATAGAAGAGATCTACATGGAGAAACTAGAAGGACTTGATGTCTCAGCTGATAAAGTTTGTAAACTTGTTAAGTCTCTATATGGACTTAAGCAGGCACCGAAACTCTGGCATGAGAAGTTCGATAGGATTGTTCGTAACAATGAGTATCAAATCAGTGAATCTAGCAATGCCTATACATTAAGATCATTGAAAGAAAGATGGTGATTATCTACCTCTATATGGATGATATGTTCATCATCGGGAGTGATTTAAAGTTAGTAATATCTACGATAGTAATATCTACTAAGAAATTTCTTTCAGCACAGTTCAGCATGAAGGATCTTAGAACTGCGGACGTGATTCTCGGAATTAAAATCATATACTCTGAAGAGGGTATTGGATTGTTCCAATCTCATTATGTCGAGAGCATGCTAAAAAGGTATGGCTACTACGATCTGCGAGAACTATCAGTGTCGTATGATTACAACAAGAAGCTTTGACCTAATACTGAAAGACCAGTAGAACAGCTAAGGTACTCAAAGATTATTGGGAGTCTTATGTACGCGATGAGCTGCACAAAGCCAGACATAACATTTCGTTGTAGAAATGATTAGTAGGTTCATAAGTAATCCTGAAAAGCTTTATTGTGATGTTGACCAAAGATTGATGAGATACTTAAAAGGAACTATAGGTCTGAGCCTATTCTACACTGGATATCCGACTGTAATCGAAGGCTATTCAGATGCAAGCTGATGTTCAGAACCAGATGAGTGCAGATTTACTAGATGTTTTGTCTTCATAATGGATGGAGTTGTCATCTCGTGGAAGTCTAAGAAGCAGACTATAATTACAGAATCATTGATGGAATCTGAGTTCTTCGTACTCTATGTTGCAGGCAAGGTAGGCATTGCTAAGGCTATTTGGGGCTATTGCGGCAAAATAGCGAAAAAAACACAAAGTCAAATAACGGTCTAATTTAGATATGTATAAATATTAAAAAAATAAAAAAAAATTATAGAAAAGTTTAAAAAATCTAAAAGTGCATTTGATGATTTAAAAAGATCCTAAACATGAAATAGACATATAACTGTCACATAATACTGAATAATACTGGAGGAGTTAAAGAGTCGTCATATTCGAGAAGATGAGCTAAGTGCTAAGAGGACTGCAATAGTAGGAGCTCACGACGAGAGGAGGTGAGAGGTAGTGCTGAGGGAGGTGCCAGAGGCTATGGGAGGCGACGGGAGTACGCGCGGTGGGATGTAGTTGTTGCGAGGCGGGTTTAATTTAAAAAAAATAAATCTCAAACCGCTTTTAAATAGCGAACAAAAAGCGGATCTTGCCCGCAATTGCCCGCTATTCACTGTTGTGATCCGTTTTTGCAAGCGAAAAACGCATATTCCGTAATTTGTCACCGCTATTGGACGATAGCGTAGCGGGAAGGGACCGTTAACGCTATTAGCGCCGCTATTGCAGGGCTATTTACCGCTATTTATAACAATGACTGCAGGAGATGAAGCTGAGTGGCTCAGTTGTTTTCTCTAAGACATTCCATTGACTGAATTACAAGGTGCAATTACTATCTATTATTATGATAATCAGGCGACGAGTGTTGTGACAGCGAACTCAATGTTCGATAGAAAGAAGTGGATCATTTGTCTGAAGCATGGCTATTTGAGAGAACTCATTTACTAAGGAGTCATCTCTGTGATTAACGTCCGATCTTCAGATAATGTGACTGATCATTTGACTAAATGTCTGAAAAAAGACAGTCGAAAGGACATCTGCTGGAATGAGTCTCAAAGTTTGGTGAATCTTACAAATGCTTACCATTTATATCAAGTTATTAGTTTAAAGCTTACGCTACTAATGATAAGATAATTGGTTCAAAAGTCAAGTAAGATTTTTAAAGTTTGGTGAGTCTTACAAACACTTACTATTTACATCAAGTTATTAGTTCAAAGCTTACGCTACTAATGATAAGATAATTGGTTCAAAAGTCAAGTAAGATTTACAAGTGAAATCCTATCATGGAAAAGAGGATGACTGTCAAGCCTTAATGGGTCCAAAACATTTCGAATGCGGGCTGTTGGATAGGTAATATGCCTAAAGGACTCACCAATGATCTTATCATGTAAAGGGGATGGCTGTTAAGCGTTAATAAGTCCAAAACATTTCGGATACGGGATGTTAGATAGAAAACATGCATAAAGAACTTACCTAGAATCCTATCATGAGAGATGATGACTCTTAAGCCTTAATGAGTTCAAAACATCTCAGATGCAGGATGTTTGATAGGAAATATGCCTAAAAAACTCACATATGTCTAGGTGGAGATTTGGCAGTCTCTTATGGTGTCTTGTGAAAAGATGCCTAGAGCCTAGCAGAAACCAGGACATGCACAGTGCCATAAATATGCAAGGCTAAGGCAAAGACAAAAATAAGTGTGGTTCAAAGTGAAAACTACCGCAGATGAGTTTAATCTTGTGTGATCGAGACATGTACTGATTCAAGTCTCTGCAACATCATGTATCTATTTTTTATTCAGTTGATCTAAAAGAGATTCAAGTCCTTACGACATCTACCTTATACACAACGATTGAAACAACGGCACCGACACCGTTACACGATACTAGTTTAAAACTAGTGAGGGATTATTGGATTTTTTGGTCAAAATTGCTTTCTAAAAATGAGTTTTCAAACTATATATTTATTAATTTTTGGTATTTTTCACAAATCCTTAATAGCGTAGTGGAAAGTAAAAATTTTGGTGTTTCAAAAGGTTCGGTATTCAAGGCTTGTCGTAGGCAAGCCAAGAATTGTTTTTGATTTAAATAATTAAATTAATCCCTCATAAGTACTAGTAAGTCGTGGGTCATGGGTCGTGGGTCGTGGGCCATGGGCTCGTAGGTCGGGGCTAATCGGGCGAAGGCGCTAAGTGACGTTTTTTAAGGCGTACTTTGCACTTTGCACGGAAGCATCAAGGCTAGGTGACGCTCTTTGGCTTCACGTTGGGTGCCACTGTGGCT